CGGCCCGCAGGACCCGGGCTGGCCTGGCTTCGGGAGTTGCCCGGCGGGCAAGAGGGGCACGGGCTCACGCACGCCCCGCTCCCCCGGCCTTGGCATGCGCTGGGGGTAGGCTTCACCGGTTGGATTTCAGACTGCTTCGCGGCACCTACAGGCAGGTGGAGGAGAGTGGCTCTCTGCCTACCTCTGCGAAAGTGGGAGAGAGCCAGTATAAACAACAGCAACAACAGGCTTAAGATGGACACGTAAAGACTTTTTTCCCCTCTGCATCAGACTAAAAATTCCTCTGTGATTTTCATTAGCATCATTTTACAGAGGGCTCCCTCCAAGTTAAACTCTTAGACTGGGGTGATGCCTGCTGCTGGCATTAACATTAAGAAGACATTTTAAAGGTTTTGTTTGTTTACGGATTGATTTAATCCCTTGATAGGGCTCCCTCGCCTCGCAACAGAGACTCTGCGTGAAAACTCGCAGGCAATTAAACAAGAGCAAGTACTCATAACAGCAACCGACGAGAACAGATTTGTCGACAAACATCACATCCGTCCCAGAGGCCCAATTAGCCTTGAGGGATCCTCTGGAGTCCAGATTCCCAGAAGTATTTGGGATAAGCAATACTGTATATGAGTTCCATGCAAGCTGTTGGCACCTACGTAACCAACTTCGATTTCCTATCCCTGAATCTCAAATACTCTCCTCGATAATTGGGCACCAAAAGCTTTTGCACAAACGGAAGAGAGACAGGGAAGAAGGGGGAGTTCAAAAGCAGAGGGTCGGGGTTGCCATAATATTTTCTCCCTTCCATTACGATGTCATTTATTTATTTATTTATTTTCCTCCAGCCAAAGTGCGTTGGACAAAAGCCTCTAAATCCTGTAGCAGAAAATCTACTTCCTTATGGCAGGATCTTGTGACCAAACAACATAATTGAAATTTTTCCACCTCTTTGCAGCCCGTTTCCAGAGCCTCTGCCAGAACCTGTTCCAGTGGATCCGACAAAGAAGCATGGGGCACCCTCTCACATTTTGACCCCAGTCCAAACTGTGACAAGTGTGCTGGGCTTTTAAATGCAACATACAGTCATGCAGGAATGAAGCCATATTAAATATCATGTCCATAAAGTTGTGCAAACCTGTAATGTTATGCTAAAGGGATGTTCCTCCGCTACATTCAAATGTACCATCTGAAAAATAAGGGAAAGAATAAGGTTAGCCTAGAATACTGGGACAGATGGGAGGTAGTTGTGTGTGTGTGTGTGTGTGTAGGATAGATAGGTTGGGAAGGGCCTGCAGACTCAAGCTAGAATGTACTCTGTGCAAGTGAAATAAGGAAGCTGACAGCCCAGGTAACCAGGCCAAGTAGAGGATCCATGCCACAGAAGAATTTGAGATCTTTCTCCTGGAAAGGCAGAACAAGGGGATCCATGACTAGGAAAATGAGTGGGATGGAAATTGGGTCCCAGGACAAGACATGGTGAAATGGATGATGGAGAGGACTGGGGCTGAGATCTGGAACCTGGGGGGAGACCAAAGCCTACAGAACCTAGTTCAGTGTTTCTCAACCTTGGCCGCTTTCAGACGTGTGGACTTCAACTTCCAGAATGGAATTTGGCTGGCTGGGGAATTCTGGGAGTTGAAGTCCACACGTCTGAAAGCGGCCAAGGTTGAGAAACACTGACCTAGTTGGTGGCATGGAAGGTCCATAGACCTTCCTAGACACTGACCTAGTTGGTGGCATGGAAGGTCCATAGACCTTCCTAGACACTGACCTAGTTGGTGCCATGAAAGGCCCACAGTTGGTGCCAGGGAAGGCCCTATGGTTCTGCAGCTTTTAGTATGCCATAGAACTGTACGGAAATCTTAAATAACCCTTGGAGCTGTCTAAGTTACAGAAGTTACAAACCACTGCGAGAAATCTCTGAAAGGTCCTAAACGATCAGCACACTCCTGAGAGGATGTCACGAACAGTGTGAAAAAGGGGAGTGAGATCTGTGGTGGGAAAGAAGCTTCATTTCTCAGACTGATTTCGATTGGCAGGCATGCTCGGCTTCCTGGCCCACCCTTGAAAGAACGTCCCGTGAAAGTTCACTTTCACACAATCAAAAGTACAACCTGATATTAGATCAGGATGTTACCAGAACAAGGATCAGGTAGAAACTGTATCTCTCACTCAAAAGAGAATTACTTGCAGCTCTTTATGTGGTGCAAATAGGAGAAAGAGGAACAAGAAATGGGAACATCGATCAAAGCTTAGCATTTGCTACAAAGCAGTTGCTAGAATTCTTGCAGGATGGCTTCATAGTTTTGTGGCAAGAAATCTGCTTCTCTGAGCCTTCCTATCCTGGAAAATATATTTTGCCTTGCCTGATGAGGGAGAGGCCTGATAGCCTGAAGGGGCAGGAGGCTGTATACAATATAAGGTCTAAAATTCTCATTGGGATGTTTGTTTTCAATATTTGTTAGAAGTGTTAGGTGTGGATTTGGGGTGGGGGATATTTTCTCCTATTCTTAATCCTGTCTTGCTTTGTACAGGCAGCTATTGTTTAGATGACACAGTCATTTGGTGTATATCAAGGGTGCTATGTTTTATGCATGTGTCATAAATGAGATTTAGTAAGTTGCAAAATAAATCTTTCCCAGGAATCCATTCCTGGATCTACTGTACAAACCCCAGAAGAGCCATTTTCTGCTCAGAACAGACCCATAGGCATATTCTGATGAGGGGTGCAGGAACTTTGCAATATATGGGCTTAAAGCAGAATAGTTAAAAGCTAAATACAATGCATATATTTAAAGGTATTAACTGAATTAATATTACTATAATTACTAACCCAATTATTGTTATTTACAGGGAAATGTACAGAGTACATTCTGAAAATCATACGTGAACGTAGTTGTGCATGTCTGCAGGCAGACCTAAATATGTAATTTTTAGTTCAGAGGTGAAGCACACTGTTAAATTATGATATCTAATTTGTAAAATAAAGGGAGGCTTTTTAATCCAGCTATTAAAGAGTAGGAAAAATAGAAGGGAAACAGTGAAGATATTCCTTCTCTGGCATGCTGCTATCTAGGATCAGTTCTAGGAAAGCTTGACTTAGCATTCTAAGAATGCCAGCCTTCATTTTAATAGCCTTAAGTTTCTAGTCCTTAAGGCTAAGCAAACTCTTGAATATGTCTCAGAACAGAGGAGTGGGGAAAGCTCCCTCCAGAAGCCCTGAAATAAACCTAAAGCAAATTTTCCAGTGTGAACCAAAGACCAAGAAACACGTTTCTTGGTCCCAGACCAGCCTCCCAGATTGACATCCAGCATTTTTGGCATTGCACTAGTATGGTACAATGGTAGTTAAGGTGTTGGCCTAGAAACCAGGAGACGGTAAGTTCTAGTCCCACCTTAGGCATGAAAAACTGGCTGGGTGACTTTGGGTCAGTCTCTCTCTCTCAGCCCAACCCACCTCACAGGGTTGTTGCTGTGGGGGAAATAGGAGGAGGAAGGAGTACTGGTATGTTTGCTGCCTTCAGTTGTATATGAAAAAAAAAAGGCGGGATAAAAATCTTAAAAAAACAACAACAAAAACAGATGTGCCCCTGAACATAAAGCCTGGGTCTTCTGCCCTCCTTTGCTGCCTGACTGAGCTTCGCTAGGACCATGAAGAAAGCCACGCTCTGGGGAAAATGCTGCCTGTGAAACACGCCGAGAGACGGGTCTCTGTTCTCCTTTCCAAATATAGCCATGAACTGAGTCTGAAGACAGCTGGGTGCCCTGGAGCCAGCCGAGCGTTGGAGGACGTCACCGGTTTCCACCCTGCCTGCCGCAGTTGAGCTAAGCAAGTGGAGATTCTTCATCAGACCAACGGGGAGGTATCTGGGAGCTTTCAAAAGGCAGCGCGTAACCTTGTGGACAGCAATAAACGTGGTTTCACAACTTGCCAATGTCTTCTTACAGATTTTTTTTTTCTTCCCTGTCTAGCCTACAGCCCTGGGATTTTCTGGTGTGTCCCATCTAAATACAAACCAGGCCAACCTTGCTTAACTATTTGAGATTAGTTGGAAAAGTCAGTCCTGAGCTCTGTCGCCTGATTGGGCCTGATTTAACCCAATCTTAGTCCAAACAGCCCAATCTGTTTGTTAGCCCTTCAAGATAGGGCAAGCAAGAAGCACAATTATGAGTACTAACTCTATCTTTATTGTTAGGTTACGTGTCGCAAGACTACAAGTATTTCTCCCCTCCTTTCCATTTACTCTCCGGAAAACTAGGGAGGTTCCCTTCTGGAACGCTTCCC